TCAGAAGGAAGGACCCCTGCTAACACTGGATCTCTGGATCTCTGGCACAGATTCTTCCTCACAGCCATCAGAAGGAAGGACCCCTGCTAACACTGGGCTCTAGAACTGTGAGACAGTAAGTTCCTGTTGGTGAAGCTGCTTCATTAGTGGTAGTTTGTTGCAGCTGCCCTAGCAAACAACTACAAATTCCAGTCCAAATGGGATCAAAAAGCAGAATAAACTTGGAAAAGAGAAGACAGACCATGACAGGGCGGCCAAATTATCCCCTCCTTTTAGAAATTTGTAATTTTTTTTAATGGTAAAAGACCACTCTGTGTGCAAATAGCAAAATCGAGAAGCCTTGGTTCCTAAATCGCCAAGAACCTTAACAGGTGTGATTGATTGAACATTGACCACAGGTGCCAGGCCTGGTGATTGGTGCTTGGTGCTATAACTCGGTTATCTTTCCTTCTCACAAATAATGCACAAGGTTGATACAATTCTCTGCATTTTACTGAGCCTCAGAGAAATAAGGGAAAATCCCAGATGGGCACTGTCAAATTAAGAATTGCTAGACTGTAAATTCATCAACTGTAATTTTGAGATGTTTCTCCAATTTTTTTGAGTATGCAGGATTTAAATTGTTTTTAGAGATAGGCTCTCACTCTGTTGCCCAGGCTGGAGCACAGCAGTGCATTCACAGCTCACTGCAGCCTCAAACTCCTGGGCCCGAGTGATCCTTTCACCTCAGCCTCCGCAGTGCTAGGATTACAGGCAGGAGCCACCATTCCCAGACTGAATTTACCACTTTAGATAAAATTTAGAGTGGCAAAGCTGGCACTGGGAACAGGCTGAATGGTGGTACAGTCTTTAGAACCTCAAAAAAAAGGGGCTTATTGATGTGTGTGTGTGTGTCTGTGTGTGATTGTGTGTGTGTGTGTGTAGTGGACAATGGCAGTCTAAGTTTGTAGTAAATGATAAAAGTTGTCCTAATAAAATTGTTGTTTTGCTATGAGACTCTAAAGAACATGGCAATAATCCTTTAGCCTGTTCTTTATCATTTTAAGAATGGAAGGAAAGTTCTACTCTTAGTAGATAGCCTTAGTGACATCTGGTGATTTTGTAATCTGAAGTCAATTTATCAGGTCAAGCAGATTTTCCTGGGTAGAAAATACTATTTTCTTTTTCATTCACTTGTTGAACAGAGGAACAGAGTCTTCAAGTTATTTGCAATTTCTACTCAGTTTTTTTTTAAATACCAATCAGTTTTAAACTCTATAGCTTCCCATAGATTGTTCTATAATGCTAAAATTTATAATTTAATCCACTCCATATACGACATTTGGCCATAAGAAAATGGTATATAAGTTATGATAGTTAGTGAATGTTTTGCAGAGTGGACTAAATAGTTATTCTGGGCACATCTGTGCCCTCCACAAGGTGAGAGAAAACTTGTTTTTATTCTAGCTTGAACATATGCCGTGTTTTAAGGTAGATTTTTATTTAAATGCAAAACATTGTTATTTTAAATATCAAATAAAATGTCATTTGCTTTTATCTTCCCTAATGCATTCTAATTTAATTTTGTAATCTATTAGCTCTTTCCCCTTATTCATGGGAAATTAGTAAAACAACAAAAAGGCATATAGATGTTTCATTTAAAATTTTCTCACATCTATGTAAAGTCTAGAAAATTGTATTTAATGCTCCATAACAGTGGTATATTTTCTCACAATCTTCTCTCATGTAATTTGAGAGATTTGTATTTTTGCTCTAAAGACACAGGCTCTGAGCTTTTTTTTTTTTTTTTTTTTTGAGGTAGTCTATTGCCCAGGCTGGTGTGCAGTGGAGGGATCTCAGCTCACTGCAACTTCCGCTTCCCCGGTTCAAGTGATTCTCGTGTCTCGGCCTCCTGAATAGTTGGGACTACAGGCACACATCACCATTGCTGGCTAATTTTTTGTATTTTTCGTAGAGACAGGGGTCTCACCATGTTGGTCAGGCTGGTCTCGAACTCCTGACCTCAGGTGATCTGTCCGCCTCAGCCTTGCAAAGGAGTATTTTTTTTTCTTTTTTCTGTTATACAACAGTGTATGTGAATAACTATGAGAAGCCATTAAAAGTCTTCTCTTTGGGGAATACAGAGTTTCTTTAAGTCACTTTTACAATAGCATTTACTGCTCTGTTTCTTTCAGGTGTGTGATTTCCAATTTACTCATATACGTTCTGCCTAGAGGCCTATAATCCCGTTCCTATCTTTGGCACTGCCCAAATAGTTATTGGTCATGCAGCACAACAAAGCATTTTAGACAAGTCTCCTCTGTTCATCCAGACCCTTTGTATAAAAGAGCTTTGAAACCGATCCAGGCACAGATGGCCAGGTTTGACCAGTGTTCCCAGCCTGTGTGACATCCACCACCACCGCCATTTTCCACAGTGAGATAGATGGAGTGGAAAATACTAGTAATCTTCAAAAACAGAATTCATGCATTATTTGGTCCCCAAGAACCAATAATTTTAAAACAATTTACCAACACAAACTGGATGCCATTTTACAGAAGAATGACCTAGAACAGAAGAAATCTATTTTCTATTGCGTCCACAAAAGGCGTTGCATTGGACAATCAATTTGCTTGTGTTTTAGAAATTCCACCAAACCCTACGGTGCCTTAAAACAAACACAAAGACACCAGGAGGTAACTAGCATTAAGATCCTTTTCTTTTTTAGCTAGTTGTCATTCACTGCCTAAATCATTTCCCAGTTTATTTATTTATTTTTTTAACTAAAGCAGGTTACTGTTATTAAATTTTTCAGTACAAATAAGAACTGGGTTAAAAATTATTCAATGAATTCTAAAAGTTGTTTTTAAATATCCTGTTTCTGATGATGAAAGCTATGCTTGGCAGCCTTGAACCTTGTCTTAGTTCAGGCTGCCATAAAAAAATATTATAGCTGGGCGTGATGGCTCATGCCTGTAATCCCAGCACTTTGGGGGTCTGAGGCAGGCAAATCACCTGAGGTCGGGAGTTTGAGGCTAGCCTGACCAACAAGGAGAAACCCAGTCTCTACTAATAATACAAAAAATTAGCTGCACGTGGTGGTGCACACCTGTAATCCCAGCTACTTGGGAGGCTGAGGCAGGAGAATCACTTGAACCTGGAAGGCGGAGGTTGCAGTGAGCTGAGATCACGCCACTACACTCCAGCCTGGGCAACAAGAGCGAAACTCTGTCTCAAAAAATTTTTTTCTTTTGGTAATTGATAATCAAATATAAGTGTGGTATATTTATATATTTGCCTTATAAATGTTAGCAGCAAAGTCTCAAAAATTTACCTTTGTCTCAGTGGTTTCAAGAAACCCAACCCTTAACACAAAATTGTTAGAGAGATTCTAAAGCCATTGCGACAGGTTATAACTCCTTTCTGAATGAATGAATTATTCAAGAAAAGATTCTCATTTATATTCAAACATTTAAAAATTGCTCTTCCTCCTTGATTATTTGCTAATATATATATATTTTAAGTTGGTGCACTGTGTGGTAATTGCATTGAAAGAGATGGTAGTCTTTTTTTTTTTTTGACAGAATCTCACTCAGTTGCCTAGGCTGGAGTGCAGCGGCATGATCTCAGCTCACTGCAACCTCCACCTCCCTGGTTCAAGAGATTCCCCTGCCTCAGTCTCCTGAGCAGCTGGGATTACAGGCATGTACCATTGCACCCAGCTAATTTTTGTATTTTTAGTAGAGACAGGGTTTTACCCTGTTCACCAGAGCGGTCTCAAACTCCTGATCTCAGGCAATCTGCCCACCTCGGTCTCCCAAAGTGCTGGGATTACAGGCTGGTAGTCTGTTTTAATATCTGCTACCTCAGTGATTATTAGTATTGATCTCTTGATTTGGCTCCATGGGAGAGGAGCCACTCATTTATTAGCAGAGCAACTTTCGCAGGTGGAGAAAAGCCTTTCTTTGGTTACAGGTACTGGTTTCATGATACTTTTCCTACTTCTGTTTCAAAAATCTAGTGGGCAACTTCATTGGGAAACAATTTTTTTTATGGGTTTCTTGTGTTTCTGCATGTTTTGTATCCATTTTTGTTCCCAAATATTTTTCCAAGGATGTTTGTATGGTAAACAGTCTTGGAAGATAGCCATAGTGTCTATCTCTAACAGAGGACAGATTTGTTTGCTCTTCAGAATAAAAGGATAATGTCTCCTTCTGGAATAAAGGTTGGGCAAGTTTGGTAGCAGCCCTTTTATAAGACTGAGGGCTTCCTAAGATCAATGGTCATCAATTGGGATACAAAAACATGGGTAGCATCCATGCTGGCCAATGGACAGATCCCAGTAGAACTTGTGTGCTTTGGGAGATGGGAAAGGGAACTGAAGTGAACATGAGGCTCATGCTATCTGCTGCGCCTTGAAGAATAAAGTCCTTATTCTCTGACCCATGAGTTTTGAGAGTTTTTTTTTTTTTTTTTTTTTTTTTTTGCCAGCAACCATGAAACTGTGTCTTAGATGTGTCTCAGTTCTTGAGACTTAATCTCAAGGAAAACCTATGTTGTGATTATTGTTATTTTTTCTTTAATATGTGTATTTTTTTTGCCTGTATCCTTGTTTGGCAGGAGAACATTTATCCCAAAGACCCCCTTTCCCTCACTTCTGGTGAGTTCTGACAAACACTTAGCTAGTATGATAGATTTTTGGTAAAATGGAGAGAAAAAAAAGAGTATCAGAATAATATTCTGGCCACTGTATATAAAAATAAACATTTAGTATTAATTCAAGAAAGGCTTTCTGTGTTGACAATGTTTCCTTCTGCAGCTATTTAGCAAAGAGATATTGTTCTTCATCCACTATACATTTCTTTACATGTGCTATATCAAAAGAGCCCCAAACATCCTACTCCCAAACTGAGAGGAAGGCGTAACGGCAGTAGAGTGAAGTAATCATATGAAACTTCCCACAGATAACACTGATAAAATCTGAACAAAATATTTTAAAAAGTACCAAGTATGTAGAAGAATGGAAAATATCCAAAAACAAACGGAAACAAGGACCTAATATTATTTTTATCTCCCTTTCCCCACCTTTGGATGGCATTTGTAATTTTAATTTACTTTGACTTCTCATGCCTGTCTATGTCACAATAATATTTGAAGACAATGAAACAATACCAGGCTAACCTTAACTCCCCAAACCAGCTACTGCTAACCAGCCATGGAATTCCAATTAAGTGGCCAAAGGCCATTTTGAATGTTAGACCTACATAACACTGCAAAACTGACTTTTATAAAGGAACAATTGGCTCAAACTTCTGGGTTCTCTTTCTTATTGTGATCTGAAGTTAGATGCCAGGCCCATGGATATAGTGCAATGGTGACATAAAAGGGCTAGCTCAGGATAGATAGCCCAGTCTACAAATGTACCATAGCAGAGACTTGAGGCTGGTAGCAATGAAACTCCCATTGTACCAAACTTCCTATGAGTCAAGTGTACAAAAGTATAACCTAAGTATCAAAAGGAATTCATGGTCCCTAAGATCTAGAAAGGTTTGACTTAGTCTCTATTCCACACTCTGTAGAAAAGTCCAGTGCTGTTCCCAAGATTTCTGTGGACTCTCTAGGGACACACCCTCAGGACATCTCTGAGTCTGATTTCTTCTTTCTTGAGTTCTGGTTTTCCATTCTGTGCTTTGTGACTTTTTCCCCCTCCTCTCTGGCATCAATCTGAGTGTGAAATCAGCTCTTTGTTTTCTTTTAAAACTCCGCTCGATGTGTATGGATGTTAAAGGAAACATTATCACAAAATTTCATACAAAGTAAAGCTGGATGTTAGGCATCCCTGCTCTAAAATGGTTTTAGCCACTCTCTCATACTTCTTCTACTTCTCCCTTTCTCCTCCAGCCTGTTCTCTCAGCATAAAATAAAACAATCTCCCCCCAAATCATCCTCCAGGTCTCCACTCCTTTCTCTCAGTTGTCATTCTCTTCAAACACACATTCTGGCCTCCCTTTAGCACAGGACTCAGCAGAAACTCAGAAATCACCCCATTATTAGAGGTTCACAAAATTACTTTCTTAGGTTTGGGTTACAGGATATGCTTTTACTGCTTCACAAAAGATTTGTGTTTGTTTGTATGTTTTTATTACAAAATTGATAAACTCCTCTTATTTGACTGATAAGTTATTAAAATTGCTATACATGCTTTTGGCAAATACATAAAAATATTAGGGTTCAGATACAGTTTGGTGCCGAAATTTCACTTCCATTCCTCCTTAATTATAGAGTTCAGGCAGAGGACAATATGCAAAGATTGGGAACTAGAAAGAAAACAACATGCCTGTTTATTAAATGATTATAATTACCAATGTACCAGTTATTGTCTGGGAGTACTCAGGCCTATACCTGTCTTGTACCAATGGGGTAGAACTCCTGAGAACTACCTTCCCAAGATCCCCTTGACAGCTGGTTTCCAGCCTGGTTCTTCTAATGGGCTGGACTCCTATGTAATGAGAGGGAGATGGCAGAAGTAACTTGAAGGTCCTAGACTTCTGGTCCCAGCTGCAGAGCTGACATGCACCTGTGAATGCTTGCAAGGTTCCAGTGGCAGCAGCAGTGAATGTGTGCTCTGTGATGGATGCCCATTGTTTAGGGCAGACCAGTGTGGCCTCCTGCAGGTCCTGGTCCCTGAGAGACATTACTTTCCCCTCATGTCTCCTCTAGGCCTTCCCCTCGTGTCTCCAACAGTGTTGTAGGTTAACTCTCTGGATTAGATTCTTTTCTGTTTTGAATAATTAGAGTGCTTTCTATTTTGCTGATTGAATTCTTGACTGTTATCCCCCTATAATATGGCTGTTCTGGCAAGCTAAATTAGAGGACAGGAGAGCTATAAGGCCAGAGGCTTGAATAGGCTTTTTCAAAACTAAGATGACTGGAACTGAAGAGAAGATTTTGAGCAGACTTACCTTCCCTGTCTAGGGAGGAGCTGCTGGAATGCAGAAAATGTTATGAACTTGCTCCAAAGAACCAGAACCACATATACGTGCTAATTAGACTGAAAAACAGAATAGGAGAGAAACACCAGAACATGGCTGCAAGCCCTTAAGAAAAAGCAGTCTTATCTGTTCATAAAATGCAGGATAATGACCAATCCATTGATCATCATCTCCTTCTTACAGGAGGAAGAGTAAGGGGAATGGGTGGAAGTACCCAACATGCATGGGGAGAGCTGGAAACGTCTGCCTCTGAGCTGTGTTGGAAACCTGAGAAGGTAGGAGAAACTTTCTACATATAACAGAAAACTGAACTCATGCTATCAGCCTAGCAGGAATGAGAAGAGGCTTATGTTTTATAATTGAGATATTCACATGGTTAAAAGGATGAAATATGTTTTCATTGGCTTTCTCTTTTATCACCAACACAAAAGCTGGCATGATTTCTGTGTGGCTGGGTTGGTGCCAGTGGGATCCCAAATCCCAAACAAAACCAAGGAGACCATTCTGACCATTCTGAAATTCATTGGAAAGGATGAATCTTTTTCTTGAAACAAAGATTTGATAGGAAATAGCTAGGATTTTGTACACGCTTGTATTTGACTTGACTGTTGGAATGCCAACTGGGCACCAGGAAAGAAAGAAACTACTCAAAGAGATCTTGATGAAACCATGTGCCCTGGGAGTGGTCAAGCTAGAGTGGCATGGAGCAGGGGGGATAATTGAAGCAGTGTCTTTCCTGAACTATGTCATTTTCTATGTAGCTGTTGACATTTCTCCTAGTGTTTCATGACTGGTCATAAAGTTACCAATAGTTTCTTCCAGTGTTTTTCAGTGTAGCCAGCTTCTGTTTATTGTCTATTGTGTGCATGCTGATGCTATCCAAGAAGTCCCATTTTGTGAACCTCTTTTGGAAACTGTAGAGGTTGTCAACAGCTTCAAAATGATGCAGTGCTTCTTAGCCAAACAAAATTTGCCTGAAAGAAAAATCTCAATTTCTCATATGTAGATAGGACCCCTGTGATGCCTGGCACCACCCTGGGCTTTACTGCTTTGTGATATGTCAGGTTGATTCATCGGTTTTGACATGGGCATGTGTTGGCATCAAAAGCCTTTTCAAAATTTCTGAAGGAAGTTTTGCTTACTGCTATGAAAAGTGTTACATTTATAATGGCATCATTTCAAGATGTTTTGTCAAGAGATGGGAGCCAGATACAAAGTTCTTCTCTATTCCAAAGCTTACTGGCATTCCCAAGAGCAAATCTGTAATAAGTGTTTGGATCTCACATGGAAGTTTCCCTTTGTTGAGAGAAAAAGAAAGTAAATCTATTTTAAAAGTAATTTTGGCATGAGATTAGCTCATTTATGGCTTGACTTACATAGCAAATGTTTTTGGTTACATACTAGAGGTAAATCTTTTGATTCAAGGTTCTGCAGTGACATTGCACTACTGAAAAATTAGAGACTCTTTGACTAAGTTGTTGTTTGCTAGAGGTGGCCAAATATGTGAACTTTTTGATACTGGATGAAGATACACTTTTGTACTCTGGAAATGGGAAAGCCAAGGAGATAGTGATATATAGATTCCTGGTAATGTGGCACAGTTCTTTTGAAAGTTATTTTATTCAATCAACCTTAAAATAGGAATCTGGATTTGCAATTTTTTTACTTGCTAACAAAAATAGCACCAGTAATTCAGGCTTTGCTAAAGATACCTTCATTGATATGAGGACAAAAGAGAAGACTTGACTTATATTCAGTTCAAAATCCTAGAGAATTCTGGTGTTGTTATGCACAAAATTATTCCAACCTGAGAAAATGAGTGATGGGTAACTCTGATTCCATTTACTGAAGAAAAAAAAATGCTATAATATTAAAAGCTGACCCCCAAATACCTTTTAGAGAAAAATTTGTCTAGAATCATACTTTGATAAATGTGTAACTGGGATAGATTTTGTTGCTGCTCAGTTTCTCTCAAATGTGAGAATTGGTGACTTTCCCCTCCAAGACTTCCAACTGTTGCCTGGTTTTAAGAATCTCTCTTTCTGGAAAACTTTGGAAAATCCCTGACTTTTGGGGGAAAAAGGCAATGTTTATACAGCACATTTTGGATGGTATGTGCCAGATAAATGTCCTGCTGATCCATGGATGACAAGCCATCTTCCATCAGCAATGGGAAGAAACTGACATAGTGCCTCAGTGTGGTCATTGTGTTTCCTGTGACTCCCACTGGAATGGCTGTGGGTGATGGCATTGGCTCAGCTTCCATCAGGCTTCCTATGGGAGATACTTTGGCAGCTTGGCTTTCCTTAATGGTGACTCTGGTCTTTCACTTCCTCTCCTTTCCTCTCCCACCATGATTCAGCCCTTCCTCCTACCTCCTCTCAGGTGATGCTCCAGAACACTCTCCCTTTCCTGTCGCCTCCCTATTCCAGGAACTTTCGTCTAGTAAACATGGAGATTCAAGGGTAAATTTTCTGCATCTCCTTCAATTTTCTTTCAAATAAATTACTATGGATCAAACTCCATGTTCCGTTTCCCTTAAGGCCTTCCAGCTTTGACACCTAATAACCTATTTTGCATATAGAACAGAAATCAAAAGGTGAACATAAAATGAAAACCCCACATTATGTTTTTTCTTTTTGCATGTCTCCCTTTCTAATTCTAATGCTTTTCAAGGCAATATGGATGTCTCAGTTATTCTGGGGAGGGTCAGTACAGAGAAGTGGTACAGGAGCAACAAAAACAAGGTACAACAATGACTGTTGGGTAAAGAGGCAGCTTAGAGGTGTCTGGGTCCTAAAGCTTCAAAGATTGGTCATAACTGCTTTGTTTAGTAAAAAGAAAACATTAAGAGCCAGCAAAATGGTAGAGGTTTTGTTGATGATCAAGAACATCGCTTGGTGTGACTTCTACATGAGAATCCTTCCAAAGATCCAGTCAAATCTATCAGTGGTACAAAAGCTTGATATGTGGGAAGGGACTAAAATGGGGTGAGTGTTGGCTGGTATGGGGCAGAATGTAAGGATATCAGAGGTTACAGGTGGAGGAGGCAGGCAGATGCTAGTTGCTGCAGACCTAGCAGAAACCTTTAGGTAGAGCTTTGGCTTTCCACTGGCAATGAAATTACCTAGTATAAGTGATTTTACCTAATGATCAAGGAGGTAATGTAGCCTCCACCTATCTAGAGAGTTATAACAATGCACATCTTTGTGATTAAGCACTTTAATTAGAAACAAGAGATAGAAATAAAGTATGTTATGTCAATGATCACTATAATTTTAACTTCTTATCCTCATTAAACACCTTTGGATTTCTTATTTCTGAGTAGTCATCAAGTTCATTTTCATTTCATGCAAATAATTTTGATTCATTTAAAGGTTTTTAGAAAGTTGCCATTAATTTCTACAAGAAAAAAAACGAAACAAGAAAATTTCTGCAAGAAAGAAATGAAACTGCACTAGTCAGAGTTGATAAAGCATAAAAGGCTTTTATTAAAATAATATAGGATTGCTCCTAGAGTTCCCAGGAGGGCTGGTGAACAAACTTTGCAAAGCCAGCAGGAACAGTGGCAGGCTGGGCAGCCAGAGCCGTGGCCAAGACTGCACCACAGGTCAACCTCGGGGAATCATATTGCTGCCTCTACAGGGAGCCAGACACCTCAGTTTCATTACTACCACCACAGCCACTGAGCACTTGACCCAGCTGCTGCTGCCCTCACCACTGTAATAGATTCTCTACTGGGGCTGCTTCTCTCCAAATTCACAATGCCAGCCTGCTACACTTAATTGGCCAGGTCTGTGTCAGTACCCCATGACTTAAATTGCCAGGGGTGCTGGGGAATAAGCATCTGGGTTTTGGGGCTCCCATGCTGGGAAATGGGCATAAGCAGTGAATGGAGTTAATAAAGGGATAATATAGCAGGAAGTAAAAAAAAATTACAATCACCTACAATAGTGAGAGAAATGATTTTTTATAAAGAGCAGTTTCTCTTCTATATTGCCTATGTGAAAGCAATAAATATCCAAGGCAGTAATATGAGTAGTATATTAAAATTAACATGGGTATTTTAAGACTCTTTTGGGAGGCGAGAGCAGGTCCATAAGTATATTAGTTTACTAGAGTCCCAAAACAAAACACCACACCCTGAGTGGCTTGAATAACCAAAATTTAGTGTCTCACAGTTCTGGAGGCTAGAAGTCTCAAATCAATGTGTCAGACAGGTTGGTTTCTCCTGAGGACCTCTCTCCTTGGCTTACAGAGAACATGCTCCTGCTGTGCCTTCACATGGTCTTTCCTCTATATATCTATGTGTCCTAATATTCTTTTCTTATAAGGACAATAATCATATTCCATTAGAGCCCAATAGTCTAAATGACTTCATTTTAACTTAATTATCTTTTTAAAGCTACTATCTTCAAATACAGTCACATTATGAGATGTGGTGGGTGGGGGATTAGGATTTCAGGGGCCATACTCTGTTAGTGAGGATGTTGGGAAACAGAGTCTTTCTTACATTGACAATGGGAAGGTAGAGTTGTCTGATCCCTGTGGAGGAAATTTGGCAATATTACATAGCAAAGTTACTCATGCATATTTCTAATAGGAATCTGTCCCAAAGATGTATGCCTAGTGTAAACTCTTTCTCTTGAATGAAAGCACAATCTACAAATATGATAGGCTATCACTGTCATGGTTAGGTTACCTTATAGGGTGAAGGTAAAAACATTTTTCAGATGTAATTAAGACCCCTAATCAACTAACTCAGAAATAACAAAAGGGAGAGTACACTAGGTAGACCTGACCTAATCAGAAAAGAGAGCATCTCTTAATGGCTTTGGAGAAGTAAATAATCATTTTTGAAATACCATTTGACCCAGCAATCCTATTACTGGGTATATACCCAAAGAATTATAAATCATTCTATCATAAAGACACATGTACACATATGTTTATTGCAGCACTATTCACAATAGCAAAGACTTGGAACCAGCCCAATTGCCCATCAATGATAGACTGGATAAAGAAAATGTGGCACATATATACCATGGAATACTATGCAGTCATAAAAAAGGATGAGTTCATGTCCTTTGCAGGGACATGGGTGAAGCTGGAAACCATCATTCTCAGCAAACTAACACAAGAACAGAAAACCAAACACCACGTGTTCTCTCACGTAAGTGGGAGTTGAACAATGGGAACACAGGGACACAGGGAGGAGAACATCACACACTGGGGACTCTTGTGGGGGGAGACTAGGGGAGGGATAGCATTAGAA